CCTACTCAGAACTTCAGACTTCTCCTAACACAGACCCCAGTAGGTGGCAGGTCACAGTTCAAAAAAGTCAGGTCACTGATAACTCCGTGTGGGAGATCTGGATGAGCTCCTGGTTCCAGGCTTCAGTCTGGCCAAACCATGGCTGCATTTGAAGAGCGACCCAGCATATAAGAGATCTCTGTCAACTTGTTACCCTTGAAGAACCAATGACCCATTCTGGGAGGTCTTCTTCAGGAAGCCACACCACGAGTCCCATGCCCGTGAGTCAGTCTCAGAGTCCAGAGCCAGACACTGCTTCAGGCCATGCTCACGGTTTCTTTCTCCATCAGGCTGGGTGTCACAGTTTTGCTCACACAAGCGCTGACCATTGGTGTCCACTCTGTAGATGCAGGAACTGTGCTGGTGATGCTGAAGCAGGTGTTCCTGGCTCCGCGAGGCAACACCAGGGTCACGCTCTCAGCCGTGACTGCTGCCTCTGGCATGTGTGGCATTGGAACATCACTCTCACTACACCCTTGGAGCACATGGAATCTGGAAGATTCCATTCTACCAGCCGTGCACAACATACTCCATCTGCAGGACATGGGCAAGGGTACCAGCAGAGGAGACCAGACAGGCAGGTATGGTCAGGGTCTGACAAAATAAAAAGCCAGGCTCAGAGCTCTTTTATTATTAGGTTCTTTTATTATGGATGATTCTTAATGAACTTGAGTTTTTGGAAAGCAGCATCAAGTCACAACCTGCACCCACCTCACCTCGCCCTACTGTCACCACTGTCCCCCAGACTAGTGTATTTTTCACATGTGATGAGCGAGCAGGGGCACCTCATCACCGTCATAAGCCATAGCCTCCGTGTGATTGCCTCTCAGTGTGAGTTCTCTGGGTGTGGCAGGTGTATGATGACACAGGCTGCCACCAGTGTGAGTACTTGGCCCATCTTCTGCCGCTTTCCCAGCAGTATTAGCAGGGGAAGCTGAATCAGATGCAGAGCAGGCAGGACTTTACTCTGGGTGTCACAGGTGGCAGCTTTGCCATTGTGTCTTCACAGTATCTGTCCCCTTGGAAGTTGATCTTGTCTCATCTGGGCAGTCAGGCATGTGATTGGTAGATCATAAGGTTCCAGAACATTCTGTTCAAGGTGACAACCTCCGGCCCACCTGCAGGCCTCTGACAGGCTGGGCAGCATGGGTGAGTGTCAGCAGGACAGTAAGCACCGAGCTGACCTTGCTCCTGGCTGTGGACAGGACCAGAGAGAAGCGTTCGTTCCTGTTTCTGGAACAAAGCTGACCACTTCCTCCTCCTGCTCTGCTGCCACCTGTTCTGGCTACTTCTCCAGGCTAATGCAGGGACACCGAGGTGACCAGGGCTCAGGAAGAGAGAGCCCTGGTGAGTGTTTCTCCATCCTAGCCCTGTCCTGGGAGTGCCTTTCTCCCAGTTTCCCTGGAGCCACCTCTCTTCAGTTCTACAGCCCAACTACCCATCCCCTGTGTCTTTTTAAAGGCTGCATTTTCCGTCTCTCAGCTGGTCCAGCTCCTGCCTTTATCCTCCTCCAATCACTGCCGTGGACACTCTCTGCAACTGAGAGCCCCATGGCCTCTCTCCTGCTATGAATCATTCCATAGCCCCCTGGTTCTCCGTGGACAGACGTTCAATCAACTCTACTACATGGCTCGTCTTTTCCTCTCATTCAGTCCAAGTGCACACTGAATTCCCGACAGGTGACATGGCTAGACTGAAGACAGAAGTATGTATGAGAGCCCCATTGTCTCCTATTGTCCCAGTCGCCAGGGAGGGCTTTAAAATGTAAAACAGAAGCACTCTACTCAATAACAATGTTTTGTCAAACATAATTACTTTAAAAAAAATTATGTCATGGTACTTGTGGTGGTCTTTCAGACTAATCGTCTGCCTTTAGCACAGGCACCACCCATACAGGCACCACCTCTCCTCCAGCTGCCTATTAATGGCCTGGAAAAGCAACAGAATATGCCCCAAACCTTAGGTTCCTGCACCCATCTGTGAGATCCAGAAGAAGCTTCTGGCTCCTGGCTTCAGATCAGCTCCAGCTTTGGCCATTGTCAGCCATTTGCAGAGGGAATCAGCAGGTGGAAGGTCACTCTGTCTCTCCTTCTCTCTCTGTTATATATCTATATTTATATCTATATAGGTATATATATATATAATATATATATATAGTGTGTGTGTGTGTGTGTGTGTGTGTGAGCACGCGAATGTGTTCATTTCTTTTGTGGCAAATATTAATCAGTGGAACCCACAGAATACAAGGCTCTGTTTCTAGAGGGTGCCAAACAGAGGGACTTGGGGTTCCCATCCACAGGACCCCAGGGTGCCGTTTAAGGTCCTGTTCTCCGCTTGACCCTCGCTCATGCATGCCCCAGATGCCACCACTTCCCAGTCTGTGCCCATTGGGTGACTTCTGCTCGGAATACCCTCTCCTCCCTTCTCTGACCATCATCCTTCTGACGTCAGCTTGTCAGCCCCTTCTCCGGGAATCCTTCGTGCTTGTCCCCTCACCTCCAGGCAATGATCAGCACTTGCTGGGCCCTCCACACTGTACCAGGAGGCTGTGTACCTTTGTGATGGCTGGGCTAAGTGGTCCCTGCTCCTCCACAGCACTCACAGCTGGCTCGTGCAAAGCAAAGCACACTCTGCACCTGTTGAACTTGGCATGGCACTGCTCCCTCACCTGTGACCCTCCCATACACGCACGGAGGTGGGAGTCGCCCCAAACAAGCGCACTTGTCATGTTTCAGGATCTCCTTTCGGGGTTCTTTCCCCTTTTGTTTTCTGCATTGTCTGACCCCAGCGGAGCTCGGTGCTATAGCCTGCGTTTCCACCCATCTGGAAACCACAAGCATTTCTGACTCACTCACTCTTCAGTGCTTAGCAGACAGTCCATTGTGTGCCTGTCACCTGTTGATCCCCTAATTGGGCACCTTTGGCCTTGCCAATTAAACGAGGTTTATTTTACACCCATCCGAAGAGTAAATACTGGAACACAAAGTGTTCATTTACTGAGCAAAGAGCTGGTGAAAAGTGTATGTGTTGCACTCGGGATGAAGATGAAGATCCGGCTTGGTCAACAGTTCCGAGGTGTCTTGCTGGGGTCATAGCAGTTCTCGGAAGGCAGGTGGACTTCTCTCAGCCCCGCCAAGCTCTCACGGGAGCCAGGGTCCTTTCCTCCTATGCAGTCCCTGTGCTGACTCTCCCTGATGCCTGTGGACCATTATCTTCAACCCCAAATGTAGGTCTTATCTTCTGCAAGGCACGACACGACCTCCAGGATGCCCTCAACCAACCTCTGACGCCTGAAAGGCAAAGGGCCAGAAGTGGTCATGGGAGTGCCAGGCTGGTGAAGGTGGACATTGCACCCCTGGTTGCCAGCCACCACCCCTGACCCAGGTCACATCAGTCACCAGCACAGCTGGGGTGCTTTGCCCCTGCTCCCCACCTGCCAACCATGTGCCCTGGCCTCTCCTACCTGCAAGACAAATGCTTGGTCCACAGCTGCCCACCCTCCCCAGCCGCTCGCCACCACAACTACCATACCCTTTCATGTGGGCCCCATAACAGGATACAGTGGACAAGGAGAATAGAAGTGCAAGGGCCAGGCAAGTAGGGCCTATGCAGGGCTACTAGGGAGCTGTGAGGGCCTGGGTCCTCTATGTCAGGGCAGCAGGTCCACAATCCCAGAGCTGTAAGTTCAAGCCCTGGCTCTGCCCCTTGCTTAATGTCCCCACTTACACAGTGTCCTTTTGCCTACAGGAGCCTGTAGGGTAAGAAAAAGGGTCTCCCAGAACAGGGATTTGGGGAAAGAGTTCATGCATCATGTAAGCCAGCAGGGGGATGCTGTTCCCACTGCAACCTGGCAAGGCCTGGGGCACACGGAGCTCAGGATGTGGGTGCAGGGACAGTTGTGGGGTGGAGGAAGGAGCTGGGCTCTAGGGGTCAGGTGAGAGTCCCCAAGGGCTGGGCTTCTAGGCAGTCTGGTAGGTGGGCATTCAGGTTCTCAGGACCTGCCAGGCAAAGAGGCCTTAGGTCTGATGGCATTCTGGCTTCCTGGGGCAGGGAGGGGCAGGCAGGGAAGGGACCTCAGACTTTGTATGGTTCTGTCCTGCACAATCAGACTGGGGATCCCCTGATTGTCCACAGACCTTCAGGCCCCTTAGAGACAGGTGTAGGAAAACAGTGTCCCCAGAATTGGACCGTCTGGTTCCCACTGCCTGCCTGGCACAGGGCAGGTGCTCAGCAAGTACCCACTGAGTGTGTGAATGAATGGGTCAGGGCTCCTGCTTTTATCACTGTGTGTGGCACCCTGTGTTCATCCTGGCTGTGGGACCAGGCCCACATTCTTGCCCTCTGTGCCTCGGTGGACCCCTGTGCAAAGCAAGAAGCAGGGAGGGGTGGTTGTTCCCTTCTGTATGGTCTTTCCAAATCTAGGTCTTTGTTGCTCAACTGTGTCTCCTTCCTCCCACCACCCTGCCAATGAACCCCAGAGCACGGTACAGGCCACATGGGAGACTGCAGAAACAGACTTTAATCACAAGAGGGGGTTGAAGCAACAAAAGGCGGAACAGCAGGTTGGCAGCTGTCATTGGGGAGGCTGACTCGCATTCTCTCATTCGGTGACAGGTGCCACAGGGGAGCCCGGTCGAGCAGCTGGGAGCCAACCTGCAATGAAACCACGGGCTCAGTAACATTTGTGGCAAAGGCAGCTGCCTTTCCAGCTGTGCTCCCTGGACATGTGGCAGGACCTCTGTGACTGGCTCTGCTGGCTCAGCTCCCTCCCACAATACCATGATGGGCCCCATCCTCTGGGTGGGCACTGATGCCCATAGGCTCCTGGTACTAAATCAGCCTCAATGCCCAAGCTGCCCTTCAGGATGGTGGTGGATGTGCAAAGACTGCCTGGGGGGGCACAGCTGGACCCCAGCTCTACCTGGCATCAGTCTGCAACTAGAGTCAGCTTCTCTCTGGGGCTAGCCGTTCAGCTCAGTCTGTGGGGGTGGGTATGATCCAGGCTCAGCGCTTGGTGGGCTGGAATCAGGGCAGCCAAACCTTTGTCTTGCTCCAACTCAGGTCCCCCCTCGTGCTCTGGGCCCATAGCCTGGCTGCTCACCTGCAGGCGGGCGTCATGGCAGGCTTCCTCACAGGGGGATGTTCTGTACCACTTGCTGCGGCTGCTTTGCACCTGAAGGAACACAGCCCGCCCACACGCATGCCCAGGCTTCAGTCTCCACCCCTGGAACTGGTGGAGCCCCGGCCCCCAGCAGGTCAGAGTGACAGGTGTGACACCTGAGGCACACGACTCTGTCTCTCCGAACCTCAACTGCAAAATGGGTGCAAGGCAGGCAACCCCCCCTTCCTCCATCACAGGGCTGTGGTGGGTGTGGATTGAGATAGGAGTGAGCTGTGATGGCTGCCTCCGCTCCAGGGCCTCCTGTGGCCCCATCCTGGAGACTAAGGGCTGAGGAGAAGCCCCGGTCACACGTGGTTCGGAGCAGGATTTCTTTCAGCTGCTCCAGACTACCTGAGCAGAGCGGCCCAGGGAAAGACTCAGAGCTGTCCACCCACCCGTCCAGCCAGGCGCCCTTCCCCTGGCCCATACGCACTGTCTATGAGGTTCTGCAGGAGCCCTGCGTCCAAGCTTTGGAGAAGATTGTTGAGTAGCGGGCACACCTGCAACGGCAGACAGGAAGGCAGTGAGGAAGACTGCCCTCCCATCTGGCTCAAACATGCTTGCTTCCGGGGACCCAGAACCCTCAGGCTGCACCCTGAAGCCACAGAACCCAGACTCAGAAATCTCCATCTTTTCCCAGCCAGGAATTCCAAAAATGTGGGATGGAGCCCAGGCACCCTGGAGCGATTTCCTCGTGTGTCCCCACGATGCAGTTCCCTGCCAGGGTCCCAGCCACATGTCAGGCTGCCCAGTGAGGTGGACGCTGGCCACAGGTTGCTGCGAGCCACAGGCTTGGGAGCTCAGCTTCCTGCATTGTTTTCCTACTGCCTAGTTCAAAATCTCTAGAATCTGGACTAGGAAATCCTGCACAGCATTGTTCAGGACCTTTGTGGGAAATGGAATTAGAAGATAAGTTTATTTCTAGGCAAAAACTTTTTTTTTTGATATCCACGCCCTCTAGTGTGGTGGGGTCTTGAGTGATTTACAGATTAAAAAAAAATGTATAGGTTTGTGTTTACTTTTTTTCAATTATTCGTATGGTATTGTGCTATTGACTTCCATTTACGCTGGGGATAGAAAATCTCCCTGTTGGGCCCAGCATTGCCCTATAGTGAGTTAAGCCATTGTCTGTGGTGCTGTTCTTCACCATACGGATGCTGGTTCAAATCCTCCTACTGCTCTTCTGATCCAGCTCCCTGCTAATGAATGGCCTGGGAAATCAACAAAAGATGCCCCAGTTCTTGAGTCCCTGCATCCATGTGGGAGACTTGGATGGAGTTCCACATGCCTGATTTTGGCCTGGCCCTGCTCTGGTCACTGTGGCCATTTGGTGAGTGGACCAATGGGTAGAGGCTTTCTCTATGTTTTTCCCTCTTGCAAATAAATAAATCTTTAAAAGCAAATAAAAGTCCCTCTCCCCCATGAGAGACCTGGAGTAATTTCCTGGCTCCAAGCTTTGCCCTGCAGCTGTTGTATTTGGGAAGTGAACCGCAGAAGAGAGCTTTCTGACTCTGTATCTCAAATGAATGCAATTTAAAATTTGTCAACATAAACAAATCTCTTGAAGTAAAATCGCATGGCTTAAAAGAAAACACTGGTGAAAAAGGACACAGTGGTGACAAACTCAGTGTAGGACTCAGTGGTGCCAGCAGATGACAGGCCCTGATCCCTGCCTTCCCCCACCAGCCTGGCAGAGCTGTGGAGGAAACACCTCCCACTGATCTCCCAAAGTGCGCCTCACAGTAGGGCAGGGGCCCCAAAAAGACAGCCAGGACCCTTCCGCAGGCCCCTCCCCTGACCCCGCACATGCCTCCTGCTCCCACCTGGCCCGAGCAGCAGGGGACTCACCGCGTCCTCCACCAACTGGGACACGACATTGGACACGGCAGTGGTCACAGTGTTCAGTACCCGGCTAAGCACTGGAGAGTTTCTGCAAAGACAGGGCGCCCAGAAGGCCTGGTCACGTGGGCAGAGCTGCCCAGCAGGATGCCAAGACAAAGCCCACAGCCCCACGACCTTCATGTGAGGACCTGCACCTGCTCAGCGCCTGGCACCCAGACCTCAGGAGGCGCCCACCACCAGCTGGAGAGAAACATCACTAATTCCTTCAAACTCTAACAATAAGAGCCCAGATGACGGACCAGGCACCCAACTTGGGGTGGGGGTGCCTTGGGGACACCAGGGTGAGCAAAGGACAAACAGCTCCCTCCCCTGGTGCTAAACATTAAGGAACTCTTACCAGAGCTGCCCCTCTAAGTGGGATTGCCACTTCCTCAGGGCAGCCCTCCCTGGCCGCCTATCTCGGGGAGGACCCTGTGATGTGTGCTGGCCAGCATGGGCCATTTCCCCTGTGGGACGGAGCACTGCTCTGCATGCCTGTCTTCTGGGAGGAGCATTGGAGCCAAGCATTGCCCGTCCTTGTCCAGGAGCAGGGCAAACGCTCCTCGCATCTTTGTCCAAGAGAACAGAGGAAGTGCTTGAATAAGCGTAGGGTGAGAGCGTGACAGGCAAAAGGAGGACAGCGTGAAGACCCTGAGAGGTGAGAAGATTCATGGAGGGGAACGAGGGGACGAGAACCCTGGGAATCCAGAACAGCCCTGCAAAAGCCCTAGGGTTGAAACCGTTCATCTGTGGCACAGACCAGGGGCGCAGGTGCCTGGTGAGGAGCTGGGTGGGAGTAGAGGCTGCAGAGACAAGAGAGGGGCGCCACAGAGCTGACACAGCCACTGGGGAGTGGAGTTGAGGGCTATGGTGGTAGGCATAGAGTGGATGTGGGTACTGAATGAAGCATCAGGACGATCCAGGCAGCGCCCAGCCTTACTAGCTGGCATCAGGTCACAGAGCCTCTGCTGGGATTCAGGGGGGTCTTGGGGTGGTCTGTGAGCAGACGCCTCAGCAGGGGGAAGGAAGAGTGACCCTTGCCCATGACCATCAGGGTCACAGGGCTGGGGACCCAACCTTGTCCCCAGCCCAGGATATCCAGCCCAACCACTCGGTCTCCTGTGCGGTCACTGGCCCTGTCACCTTTCCCTACCCCAGCCAAAACTCCTTTCAAACACCCGCTGTGAGATGCACAGAAGTGAATTTGCAGACAGCGACATTTGAGTGGGAAGAAATCCACAGTCAAAAAATCATTTCAGGAATCTTCCAGTGGGAAGAAAGCGACTTGGGGACAGGGTAACATTGGGGCCTTTCTCACCTAATCCCTTCCTAACCAGAGGCAGGAAGGCAGAGAGCACATTAAAATCACTGTCACCCTAGAGAGAGTTTGTATAATGGTAAAAGCTCAGTTTGCCTAAACACTCGTGCACCCCACAACAGAGCTTTCAAAGGCACAAAGCAAAAAATGGATCCAGCTGAAGGGCAAAAAGCCAAGGTCATGGCTACAGCTGACGAGGTCCCTCCCCAGTGACAGACAGAACCAGTGGACACCAGGACTACTGCAAGCAGCACGGTGTGGCCAGCTTGGTGCTGGACGCCTGTGCTTTCTCATTCGCTCAGCTCGAAGTCCGCAAGCAGGTATCAGTATTGTCCTCTGTTTACAGGTGTGAAAACTGAAGCTTACTAAGTTGGTTATAAGGTACAGAGCTTCTGAGCTTTCCTCCACATTCCATCGCCTCCTGGGTGTTGGGGTGGGGCAGGACTTGGGGGTCCTTGGTGCTACTGCCATGGCAGGCACATGGGCCTTACTTCAGTAAGGTGAGTGACACGCTGGCTACGTCCTTGCTGCAGCTTCCAACGACCACCGTGGGCAGGCCGGTCTCAGCATCCGTCCCCAGTTTGACTGCAGACAGGAGGTCCAGGGAGGCCTTGACATCGACGACCTGGCCTACGAAAGGCCTGCAAAAAACAAAACAAAACAAAAAAACCTAAACACATGATGTGAGTTGGGGTGGGAAGAGGGTGGTCAAGGAGGCTCTTCACACTGTTTACGGGTGAAGCCCACCTTGGCCAGGTAAGGTCAGCAGGGTCCCTGACTTTATGAGGCTTATAAGTTCATGTTGGGGGCTTCTCTCTATTTTCTTTTTAAAATTATTTGTCCAAAAGTCAAAGTGAGGAGGATACAGAAAGAGTGAGACAGACAGACAGAGAGAGAGAAAGAGAGAAAGAGAGAAAGAGAGCTTCCATTTGCTGATTCATCACCACCCCCAGATGGTCCATTGCAACAGCTGATGGTTGGCCAGGCCACAGTCAGAAAGCACGAAATCAACACTGCGTGGCTGTCAGAGACCCAACTACTTGAGTCATCGCCTGTTGCCTCTAGGAGTCAGGAATCACGTACCCAGATTGGGAACTAAGTCAGGCATTCGGATGTGGAATCTGGGTGGCGTACTGGTAGACCAACCCCTTGCCCCCCACCCCCATTCCAGGGCCTTTCCAAGGCTGGGCCTTTAGGTTTCTGTGGCAGACTGGGAGAGGGGTGTGCAAGGCCCACGCAGCACACGTAGGTGCCCAGGTATCCCCACGGTGCCTACGTACAGGGTCAGCGAGACGTCGGTCGTGACAGGGATCCTCAGATTAAGTCCATCCATAGTCACTTCAGGTTTGATGCTCACGATGAGTGGGTTGCTGATTTTCAACCTGTGTAAAAACCCCCGTGTGTCCTCATCTCATCCCACTGTGGGTGTCTGTTGCACGTGTCCCTGGGACAGGGCTGCGTGGAGCTTGTAGACACTGCTTAGTTTCCCTGGCTCGGATTCCAAGAGAAATAAGAACGAGCACCAGAATTTGAACTCAAAGTGGCCTGACTTGTGAACCGGCCTATGTGGATCCACTCCCCAGGTGGCATCCATCCCTGCTTCCCATCCCTTAAAGGGGAATTTCATCCTCGAGAAGACAGACAAGTCTCATTCGTTGGAAAGGGGACTTGAAGCACCAGCAGGCAGGAGGAGGCAAAGACAAACAGGGTGGTCCACCTTGACCCTGGTGCTGCAGACCACGGCTGCCCAAACCACAAGGCAGCCAGGTGGTGCTGGAGCCCAGCCCTGCGTTTCCTCCTCCTCCGGAGGGTCTGCCCTGGACTGCCCCAGCCCACGCACTGCAGGGGAGAGGTGGGGACTTTGCAGCCACCTCTGAGGCTCTTCAGTGAACCTTCCCAGACACCTGTTCTTCACCCAGAAGCCCCGACTCACCCCAAAGCCTTCTGCAGGGAAAGGAGCCCCGAAACAGAACTGCCAAGCCCAGACACCTGCTGGACCAGCTGTGAAACCCCAGAATCCTGAAGTGCCAGGTTGTCATTTAGCTTCTGGATGCCACCTGCCAAAGACAGTTGCCGTTTAGTGTCACACAGTGCTCTGGTTCCCAATGAGACAGTCTGTCTTGGTGATTATGATGTGACTTTTGTGCCACCCCATCAAAGTAGCGATTGTGCATTTGTATTTGTGTTGTATTACAGGCAAGGACATGAAGGTTCCAGAAGGTTAAGCTGCATGTGCAGGGAGCCCTTATTCTGTCCTTGTGGCCTCCACACTAACATAAACTGATCGTTTACCAACAAAGACATCAGTCAGTCGGCCTGTCTGATGGCCCGTCATACCTCCGCTTCTTGGGGTGACCTGGGAATTTATTGCTCTAAACGAGACACTCACACAGTGAGGTTGAAAAGCCACATGAGACAAAATGAAGGACCAAATTTTAAAAACTAGAAAACTAGCATCAAGGAAAACTTGCGGCTTTCGTCCATGAAGCTGTGGAGAGCAGTTGCGCTGTATCCTAACGGGAGGTTTCCGCAGAGGAGGGGGTGGGATGTAAGATGGAGTGTAAGAAAGGAGTGGGATATTATGTCAACAATAATTCAAGAGAGAAACAACAATGCAATTGCCAACTAGGGGAAAAAGATCTCATGAGAAAAGAGATGTGATCTTTGGCACCACAACTTGGTTTTGCATCAGACGGTATCTCTCTGGGTTGTCTTGATGCTAAGCCGATTTAAAGAAACTGGGGGTGCAGTGAGATCTGCCTGTAGGGCTCTTCAGAGGATCTCACTCCACACTTGTGCTGCTGGGCCTTAGTGTGCAAAGCTTTACAATTAGAAGTAGACTGGGGACAGTGTCATGGCACAGTGGCCCAAGCTTATGCATGCGGCACTGGCATCCCACATGGGAGCCGGTTCATGTCCAGGCTGCTCCACTTCCCAACCAGCTCCCTGCTTGTGGCCTAGGAAAGCAGAGGAGGACGGCCCAAAGCCTTGAGAACCTGCACCCATGTGGCGAACCCATAAGAAGCTCCTAGCTCCTGGCTTCGGATTGGCTCAGCTCCGGCCATAGCGACCATTTGGAGAGGAAGCTAGTGCATAGATCTCTCCTCTCTGAGAAAATAAAACATTCTTTAATAATAATCTTCCAAAAAATTAGATGAAAATGGATCCTTTTTTGCAAGTTTGCCCGGACAAGGTTTAAAAATCAACGTTGTGCTACCTTTTCTTGTAAGAGCTGTCATGTGCTGTTAATGTTGTAGTCAACCAGCATCAAAGGAGGCACAATTAAATACAAAGATAGAGGGCTTCATAGATATCTGCTAGACAGGACTAATTTCCAATGAGTTAACACAAGTCAACGAGAGAAAATTAAGGATATGCTAAAAAAACAAATGGGCAGAATAGTTAAAATAGGGAAATGAGTCATAAAGACTTGGAAAATGAAAGGAATCTTTCAGAGTTAAAGACACACAAAGAGAAATGAGTTAGTCTTCTCTGAGATCAGCAACTGCCTGGAGCTGTCCCTGCTGCTGCTGGCAAAAGGCAGGCAATGTCACAGACGGTCAGAGAAAATGTTCGTCAACCCCTATATACTGAGTTACACCGTACAGACGTTTTGAACCTCTGAAATGTCATTTTTAAAAACTCATCCTACACACACATTGAAAGCAGTTTATCAGGATATACTATGCAGAAGGGTGCTCGTGGCAACATTGCTTGTTTCTTCATAACAGAGTGTATGAACCAGAAATTGAACGGCCATCTGTTCATGAATAGCATGCCCCCTGGGGGCAGCCTCTGGTAATGCAGGAGTGGTGCTCCCCAGGCCACGAGTCCTCACTGGTGACTCACCTTGAAGTAGCTTATCCACACTGCCAGCTGCTGAGGCTTGCTGAACAACGCTGTCCAGAAGAGCCCCCGAGGTCCCTGTGAGCAGGCTGTACACGAGAACCAGTGTCCAGAGTGGAGCCATCTCGGGTCCTGAAGCCTGAGTGCTGGGGGATAGGAGCCGTGGTGAGTGTGCTGCCCAGAGCACCTGCCACCCTCGGAGCATCTGTGCTTTAAGAGAGGGGCGGCTGTCTCCTGATGTGGACAACGCCAAGCCAGGTCAGGCAGTGGGAAGGACCAGCCCGGGGACACGCAGCCAGGGTGGGGGTCCCGGGGGGGAGCCAGGACTGACATCAACCATGGCAGGGCACATGGCACCTGTCACTGCCTCTTCCTGAAGAACCTTCCCTATTCCTTACCTTCTCTCCTAAGCCAGTCCCCACCAATGCTTGGGCTTCTAGAAGGTACGAGGCTCTCTAGGAAGCCCCTAGGGGGCTCCTCCTAGAGCTCCTAGCCCAGTCTTGCACCCTGCATTTTCTGAAGGAGCCTGGGTACCAGTGACCAAGCCTCATCTGCCTTCCTACCCATCTGTGACCTGCTCAGGACAAGGCCATGGCTCCAGTCGCTGCTTAGTCCCCAGACACCTCTAAAACGCCTCTGCCAATGGATGAACAACCAAACACTGGTGGGAGAGCAGCGTGGACAAACTTGGGGGCCCCAGCCACCAAGCCTCATCCCCTGCATCTCATCTGGGGGTGTCTATGTGTGCTGAATCTGAAAGGTCAGTGAATGCAACCAGCCAAGGGCGCCCTCCCTCCGCCCTCTGAAGCCCCAGGTATGGTCTCCCGAGAAGGCCCACTCACAGGTTTGGAGGAGGATTCTGGTGTGCTGCTGGCTTCCCGGCTGGGTATGATCCTGCTGGGTGGTGGTGGCCGTTATATAGCCACCACAGGAGGGAGGCATCCTGGCCCCCAGGCCCTCGAAAGTGATGCCAAAGAAAATAAGCCCCATTCAGGGTGAGGAGAAAGAATCTCAACCCAAAGGTTGCCCAGGAAGCTGGAGGCGGAGCACACGGATGCAGGAAGGACTTTATGCCAAGGCTAAAGCCGGGTCCCCGTGGCACTTGTAGCTGCCAAGGCCATGGCTGGTGGGGGTAGGGGAGAAGTCCTCCTAGGGCTCTGGGGGATCAGAAAGAGAGGAGACCATCAGGCTACAATCAGCAGCAGGTCAGGGACAGAGAGGGGCCGCCCACGGGAGCTCTAGGCAGGCAGTGGCCATTCCACCCAGTGTTCCCCAGAATGCTCTCCACAGCATCCCCCAAGGGCAGAGTCATCCCCAACAATGATGGGGAGCTCACTACCCACATGCCTGCTGGCCCCATCTCATGGATGTCCTCTGAGAGTAGACGTGTGGCCAACAAGGAGTTTCAGAGGGGGATGATCCTGGCCCAAGGCTGCACAGCCAGTGTCAGAGATGCCCACCTCCAGCCTCGTTCCCTGTCCCCATTCATACACCTGGCCAAGGCAGAGCCAGGCAGACTTTGATCTGAAGTCCTCACAGAGCTTGCATTGTCTGCCTGCTGCCCATCCCAGCTCCCACTTTCCCAGCCCGCCTGCTCCAGGCGCTTCACACAGGCCATCCTGTGCCCTCTGCCTGGCATCTCTCACAACACTGTGCAGAGCATCCTACCCACTGTCTCACGCCCTCGCTGGTTGCTTGCATTCTGTCCTCAGCACAGGCCTGCCTGTGTACCCAAGAGGAGAGGCCAGCCTGTTCCCAGCACGTGCAAAGCTTCTCTCTGGGGTGGCCTGGGAGAACTGGACAAGATGGCGGCTGAGAAAGCCTGTGGGCCTGCTGCTCGGCACTGCAGCTGCATGACCCATTAGCTCCCCTTCCGGCTGTCCCTGTGGACCTCTCCTTCCCACCTTCCCATCCTACAACTCCAGGCCTATCCACTTGGAGTCCCCTCAGGGGGTGGCTAACCAGGGATGGGAAGCAGGGTAAGGGGGACCAGGCCCCAGCACTCAGAGGTACCTTGCACCCCCACTCCAGGGTCAGGACCCAGCTCCTGCCAGATGTGGCTGCCAACCCACAGCTTAGCTCTTGGCAGCACGGCCTGCGGTGCCCAGACACGTGGCTCCCACAGCTGCCCTCTTCCTGCCCACGTCCTCACTTCCCCTGCTCCCCGCCCTTGGCAGCCAGTGCTGCCCCCAGAGTCCATTGCTTCCACCCCAGGGTCCCAGAGGGGTAGGTGGACACCTGGCAGCCACTTCTGAGCCTGACGTTGGCCCTTGGCACTGTGGCTTGACATTGGCTGTGGGCCCTCGTGGAAACTCTGTGAGTGAAAAAGGTTTTATTTATCTTTATTGGAAAGGCAGATTTACAGAAAGATGGAGAGACAAAGATCTTCTATCCACTGATTCACTCCCCAAATGGCTGCAACAGCCAGAGCTGAGCCTGTCTAAAGCCAGGAGCTTCTTTGGGGTCTCCCACACGAGTGCAGAGTCCCAAGGCTTTGAGCCATCCTCCACTGCTTTCCCAGGCCACAAGCAGGGAGCTAAATGGGAGTGGAACAGCCAGGACATGAACCCCACAATCCAGTGAGGAAATATGAGGCTGGGGGAGAGAGCTGGCTTGCCCTGGCTTCGCAGGGACGGGAGCCGGCCGGCGGGTGCCCAGGTTGAGGCCAGCTGGCAGGCACGAGCATCCTGTTTTGCCCTGGGCCGCTGCTGTTTAACTTGGTTGTGACGACTGGTACGTTGGGCCTGTGTCAACAGGAACCACACAGGGAACACACTCGGTGTCCACGTGGCCTCAGGCCGGGCAGGGCTAGCGGACAGCATGGGGGCTTCTGGAGTTCCACCTGCTGTACCGCAACAAGCACTGTGGGCACACTGTCCCAGTGTGGGGACAATGTGCCGCAATGGGACATGTGGTTCTGGGCACCACATTGGCCTCACGCTCACCGCAGAACCAGCATTGGAGCCAAGCAGGTCGGTGGCAGCGTGGGTAAGGGGCAACTCTAACGGACAGTCCACTGTTGCCGTGCTGTGACCCGTGACAGATCTTTAAACCCCCTGAGCTGGGTCCTAGGGTGGAGCACCCAGGCCAAAGCTGGGGCTGAGCCCTAGTGAGAGGAGCTTTCCCATACCAGGAGCACAGCGCAGGGGCCCGGGCCCCAGAGCGACCTCAGAGCTGGTCGGACTTGGCCTCAGTCACCTCCTTGGTAACAGAGTTCACTGTGACCTAATGAACAGGCAAGAGCTGAGGAACTCAAGAATGTGTTGGTGAGGGAGCCCCGGGGTCTGCTCCGAGTACCCCTTCGTTTTGTATACACGGCCACCGGCCCTCTGGGTGACTGTTTCCTGGGCACCTCCCAAGGGCCAAGTCCTCCGTGTGCTGCAAGTCAAAAGTGACCAGGTCTCTGTCCTCATTCTGGAGACAGGCCACCCTCCGGGGCTACAGACAGGCCACCACAGTGGCCCCATCATGGATACCTGCAAACAGGCAGAGGTGGGTGCCCCCATAGTATTTTATAGGCAGGCAAATTGAGGCACAAAGCAAAATGAGCTGCCCATGATCACACATCTAGTGCAGATGGGCTGGGATTAGAACCCAGGACGTTAGAATCCAGAGCCCATGTCCAGTCAGGTGCCAGAAGTTGGGAGAGCAGTTTCCCCCAGACTGTGTGAACCCTACAAGGATGCAAAGTCCTCGGATTTCACTTCATTTCCCTCACCTCCCCTCAATCCCACGTGTCCTGGAGGAGCCCTCCTGGAGAGCTAGTGGCTTGAGCGTCTGGGAGGAGATTCTGTCAAAGAGAATGAACCAGGCCCAGAAAGACACACACCGCATGATGGCATTTATCTGTGCCATCTAAAAGGGAAAACAAAAACAAATAAACAGAGCCCAAGAATGACACCACAGCTCCCAGGGTCGGGGCAGGGGAGGAAGCGCAGAGATGAAGTGGTGATGTGGCAGGTGGATGGGGCAAGGAGCTCAGGCGGGACCTGGCAGACCTGAGGACAGAACTGAGTCACGCAGGGTGCGAGGAGCGCTGCTGCCCTAGCCACCCAAGCCCCCAGAGCTGTGCGAGACCCCTGGCACGTGTAGTCACCACACACTGAGTATCCTGTCACCTGCGTGCCTATCTCACACCTGCAGGTGAGACACGCCTAGCTTATCTCACGATGGATCACTTATGTTTATTTGTTTGGAAAGCAGAAAGAGAGCTCTCCCACATACTGGTTTACTCCCCTGAAGGCTTGTCACAGTTAGGCCTGGGCGCCAGCCAAACCAGGAGCTCAGAATCCCAGCTGGGTCTCCCACCTGAATCCCTGAGTTTTCACCAGCTGCCTTGCAGAGTGTGCACCTGCAGGGAGCCAGAATCCGGAGCAGAGCTGGGACTGGAACCCACATGCTCTGGTTGGGATGTAGGGGTCCCAAGCAGTGCCTTCACCTCCCCCACCCCGTACCTAAATGCCCATCTCTCCAACTTATTTTTAAATGGAGTTGACTGAAGGGATTGTGTGGGCTCTGGCCCCTCTGTTACTGGGGCCTGCAAGGTCAGGAACAACGACTCTGCTCTCTGATGTTGCCAGCAGCCGATCAGGGGCCTGGCAGGTATCCTCCAGCATCAGCAAGCAGTTATCAAGCTGATTGGTCAACCAACTGAATAAGTGCACATAGAGTTGGGACAGAGACTCGACCCAACTGCAGGAACCTGGAGCTTTTATTGACAGCAGTAAGTGCACAGCAGACATGCCACACCGGGGCAGAGCGCCCCGTGCAACTCTGCACCAGGGCACAGCGCTGGACCCTTCTCAGCAAGTGGCAGGCTGAGGGGGAGGCAGACAGAGCAGGAACTGGTTCTAGAAGCCTGGAGACTCAGGCCCTGGGACTGTGTCTGGTAGAAGCTCTCCCGGGCTGGCTCAGGCATCTCCCCAGCTGGGCAGCATCTCCGGCTCCGTCATTCAGGCGCTCAGCACCAGAAGGTCCTGGGGAGGGGCAGCATGGAGAAAGTGGTGAAGGGGCAGCCAACACTCGTCTGCCCCTGGACTGGACCTGGGGTGCTCCTGAGAATCAGTAACCCCAAGACACACTGCTCCCCATTTGTGACGAGGAAATCAAGACTCAGAGAAGCTCAACAGCTTGGCCAGCATCTTGCAGCTGGCAACTGCGCAGGGCAGGTGCAGGATGTGAACTCTGGCCACTAGGCTCCAAGGTGTCATTTTTGAACACATCATTCTAGACTGTCTGATCAGAGCCATGTTTGCAAATGAAATCCTGGAGAGACTGGCCGAAACACCGCACGCTATCCTAGGAGGAAATCCATCTGTCTAGGAGACACGTGCACATTTGTTTTCTCTGCAGTTTTCTAGTTTCAGATGATGAGCAAATGGAGTTCTTGTCTTGTGGAGACCAGAGCCCTTGGCCTGAACTTGGGAGCAGCCACCTCGCTTACAGACCAGTCTTCCCTTGAAGGTCTCCTCCCCCGCGGGCTGGGGGTGCTCGGCCCTGTGCTCACCCCCTTAGCGAGTGTTGGGCACACAGTCAGCGCCCCATAAACATGTCTCCAGGGACCCACATCACACGTCCACTTTGGGCAGGTGCCTTCCCACCCTGAGCCTCAGTTGTCCCATCTGTAACGTAAGAGCTGCGGCCTCCATGGTGAGAATCCAATGAACTTACGTATGTGAGTTTCCCTTGAAACGACCATGTTCCTTGTGCCTGAGCCCCATGTTGAAGGAGCAGGCCCCTGCGCCCCCTTCCTTCCCTCCTCCTCCAATCCTGGCTCCTCCTCAAACAGGGAGTCCCAGCTGCTCATACCTCCAGGACATCAATGTCTGCATTGCTGAAGTCAATGTTGAGGATTTTAGGGAGAGGGACGCCAGAACCCAGCACAGCTGCCAAACAAAAATCATGTTTAGGGGCCATTCCTGTCCCGGCAGCTCCACTTCCCATCCAACTCCCTCCTTGTGGCCTGGGTAAAGCAGTCGAGGACGGCCCAAAGCCTTAGGACCCTGTACTCATGTGGGAGACCTGAAAGAAGCTCCTGGAACCTGCTTTCAGATTGGCCTAGTTTAGGCCATTGTGCCCTCTTGGGGAGTGGGCACAATGTAAAATCTGCCTTTTCAACAAAGATAAACCTTTAAAAAAAAAAAAACTTTAAAACAGAACACAGTCACTGCTGACTTTAGTCAACAAGCTATGAAAATGCCATCCCAAGCCACCCCCGCCCCAGACAGTGGGGCCGGGCCCAGCCGCAGCCCTCACTCACCATTCATGGCGGGCATGAAGGCCAGGTCAAAGATCTTCCCCACCAGCACCTCCAGGAGGCCCACCTGCCAGGCAGGAAGAGGACTGAGCACAGGCAGGGGCGCAGCCAGTGACATATGAGAACTTGGGGGTTTCTGGCAAATAGAGCCCCTGGGATCACCTAATCTCTCTCAGCAGACACCCTGTAGAGCCCCAGCTGCCTGTCCAACACAGATGGGGTGGCCAAGGCCCTGGCAGGGTGAGCACTGGCCCTGGCCACAGTGAAGCAGATGCTAAGGGAAGCACATGGGTGGGGGAGCAAGGGTGGCGGCCCCGAAGGTGCCATGATATGGGAGACAGCTCCGGGCCCTGCGGCCAACAGCCCCGGCTCTTCTCAACCCCTCCCACTCCTGCCACCACCAACGGTTAGCTGCCGTTGGGCTCCAACAGATGCCAGCTTCGACCCTCAGCTGTGGAGTGGGTCAGGAAGCCTGCATGTGGCATCACAGTGAGGGTCATGGGCAGCTCCCTGGAGACTGACCACAGACCCTCGCAGCAGCCCCCATATCTGAAGATGGTGCCTCTGTGGGCTCTAACAGCAGTAGATGGGAAACAAACGTAGGACTGCCTCTGTACCAACAGCTACCAATCTCCGTCTTGCCATGACTCCTTAAGCACACAGTGTAAGAAAGGCCCCCATGGCATTTATGGCATCCCAATACACAAGGGGAGCAGCATTCAGAGTAGCAATTAAGACACTCCTCAGACACCTGCATCCCTTAGGGGAGTGCCTGGGTCCAAGTCCAGCTTCCGGTCGGTGTGCACCCTGGGTGGGGAGAGGGGAGGGTGGTAAGCAGGTGATGGCTCAAGTACTTGGGTCCCTGTCACCCCACCGGGGACCTGGGTTGGGTCCCAGGATCCTGGGTGCAGCCTGGCCCAGCAATGTTCCAGGCGTCCAGGAAGTGAACCCATGGAAGGGAGCTTTGTGTCTTTCAAAGAAATTCACACACCAGAAGGCTAATAGAGGATATGAGAGGATGTTGGCATGCTAACCCTTTGTTCCCCTAGGAGTCCAACTCCTTCCATATCAGTTGTGATGTCTGGGTCAGTTTCCTCTCTGGTGATGCCTCAGACAGGCATCCCAGGAGATGAGATCTTGGTGCATACAGACTTAGGGCAGAAGGGGAGTCTCCGGAGCCTGGGAGTCGTTGAGGGATACGAGACAGGGCCAGGAAAGGAGGCAGGACCATGCCCAGCAGGCGAGCATCCTATGGTGGGTGCTAGGAGAGGCAGTGTGCCCAGACCCAGGGGTCAGCAGGGGGCCTAGAATAGATCCATGCCAGCTTGCCTGACACCTCGGGGGAGGGAGGTTAGGTGAGGGGGAGGAGGGATGTGGCAGTCAAGGTCACGCCGGAGTCAGCAGCCTCCTAACTCCAGGAGGAATCGGGACCTTAGGACCTTTGCATCCCCAAATGCAGAGAGCTGGGCCTGCCAGCAGCTCCCAGCAGGGGCAGCCAGTTACCCCAGGTCTGTGCCCCCTGCACCCCAAGCACAGAAGAAGCCGTGGGTCTGCACTCCACCACTCTGCCCATTTCCACGGGGCTGCCCAGTGCTGTGCCACCCACACCCCAAGCTTGCTGGTCCTGCAACCTCGCAGGGCCTCCTTCCCTGAGTCTCGGTACTCACATCAAAGTTGCCCACATTTGAGGTTCTGAGGTTGAGCTCGGTCCTGCAGGGACAGGACACAGTCCTGAGAAGCAGCCACAGACTTTCAGCCAGGAACCCCCACACCCTCAGGAAGATGAGCCCTGACTGGCCCAGGGGCAGGGCAGGAGTTGTGATCACCGAGGACAAGCTGGTTCCCAGACACTGAGCACTGCCCATTGGCAGACGCCATGCCCAGAGCCTTCTGTGGGCTCTGCCACCTGCTCGCTGCGGGACCTCAGCCCACACCCTTTGTCTCTCCATGCCTCAGTTTCCTTAACTGCAGAATGGGTGCTGCTTGGACTGGACGAGGGAGTCATATATTGTGTCTAGAATCACGTGTGACACCCAGTGAGGGCTACACACACAGTGACGGTCATCACCGCTTTGTTTAACTCTTGCAGAGATGTCATGAGGGGTAAACTGAGGCCCCAGCACAACTTGTCAGGGTCACAGAGCCCATGCCCGGAGCCTGTGCCCTCGGCTGTTGAGCTGCTCCATGAGGTCTAAGGCCTTGTCCCATATCGGTCACCTGCAGCTAAATTGCAATTGACCATCTGGCTCCAGAGGAGCCATTTGCAAGGACGGGCTCAGCATGGGGAAGGATGGGGCCAGGAGCATAGGGTCCTTCATGGGAAGGCATCTCCACATAAGGCCCTGCCTTCCAGGCCTCCACACCCACCCTCCACCCTGGCCACTCTGCTGGTGCCATTCCTCCCCAGCCTTTGGCTGAACGTCACTCCTGGGACGCCCATTGCCATCACATTATGAGCCTTGCTTTAGCACAATGTCACGTGGGACCCCCACATCGGAGTGCCTGGGATAGAGTCTCGCCTTCACTTCCCACCCAGTCCACTGCTCATGTGCCTGGGGAGGCAGCAGGGGATGGTTCACGTCTTTGAGCTCCTGCCAACCTACATGGGAGACCCAAAAGGGGTTTCTGGCTCCTGGCTGCAGCCTGGCCCAGCTCTGGCATTTGGAAAGTGAACCATTAGATGGAAGATCCTTCTCTGTCTCTTCTTCTGCCTTTGCCATTCAAAATCAATCACTCAATCTTCTAAAGACAGAAAATGAACGTAAGCACACCCTGAGGGAGGAACCAGAGGACCCCAAGCTGTGAGGCCGCAGGTCGGAGCCTGGTCCTGCGAGTCACTTGCGTCATTAGTACCAATGTTGTTGTTGTTGTTGGCAGTTAACAGTTAACAGAACAGATATGTTAGGACTGTGGCCTCCCCAGCCAGGCCCAGCTCTGACCGTGGACTTCCCCAGGCCTGACATCCCCCCATTGCAGCAGAGCCCAAGACACCTCTCAGGGGAGCAGCTCTCTTACTTGTCCAGTTTGGTATCGATCATGAGTTTGTCTCCTTCCACGGAAAAGGAGGCCAGGAGGTCGGTGTTCTGGAGGGAAAGGCAAAGAGAGTGACAGGTCACCGGCCCGAGGAGCTGCTGCATGCTGGGGAGCACCGACATTCCCAGCCACACTCAGGTGGCCTTGGCGGCCCCTCTGGGGGCAAGGGGACAGAGAGAAGGAGGAAGGGAGAATAAAATCTTTGCAAATTTGTCACAGGAAGAGCGGAACAAATGCAGATAAAGGTCACGGAAACCCTAAGATTGACAAGGTGGGAGGAGGGAACAGGTGTTTACTGAGTTGTCTGCTGTGCATCAGAGGTGGGAGTGGCCAGCAGCCTATGGGGCTTACACAACGTGAGCCAGTGCAACGGGACTGGATGCCATCGCGGCCAATCGTAACAGTCCCACCCTCCAGGAGAGGGCATTAAAGACCCTGGTCCTCCAGCCAGGAAAACCCCTCACCCCAAATAAATAAACAGGGCTTATGGAAAAAGTGGTGAGGAGTGCTGACTGGGAGATCAATGGGCCCTGAGTGCCTGCCACAGGAGCCCCAGCTTGCTCTGGAAACCAAGGAAGGAAACAAATACAGGAATAAGTCAGACGGAGAAAAGGGTGGGAGAGAAATGAGACAGTGAAGCCAGCATGTGCCAAGGCCCCCAGGCAGGAAAGAAGCTGGCCATGGAGACACCACATGGCCAGAGAGCAAAGGAGGCAGGCGTGCTCCCGGAAGCTGCAGTGGGGCTGTGGGCATGGTAGGAGCTGGGGCCACCCTGGAGTCCCAGCAGGGCCCTGAGCTGCATGGGCCCACACAGGCACACACACACACACACACACACACAAGCTGGGGCTGCAGTGGGAAACCTTCCCCAGCAGCAGCTCATCAGAGGTGGGGGCAGCTGTCCTCCACCCTGGGCAGGACTTGGCCTCTTGAATCCCTCCGCCAGTGATGACCTGAAACGACACCCCTGCACACAACACTATCGCCCCAACAAGTGGCCTTCCCAGCACCGGCTTCCTAAGTGGGGCGGCTCCAAGGTGCTCAGCCTTGCAGGTGGAGAGAGCAGGAAGATCTGGCAGATGGGAGCAGAGCCTGGTAACAACTGAACACGTGAACACTGTTCACGGAGCAGCTGCTATATGCTGGACTGTGGCTCAGGTAGTGAGTGAGACAGCAGGAGTCTTTATAGCAGTCAGCCAGCAAACACTCACTTCCCAGTGTCAGGTCGGGGCTACGAAGCAGGATAAAGCAACTGGGAGAAACAGCAGGGAGACAGAGCAGCTCTCACTGTTGTAGACAGTGTCTGAGATCTCTCTGGACAGATGACTTCTAAGCAGAGACCTGCAGGAAGCAAGGGACCAAGCTCTGCAGGTGTCTGGGGCTTCTAGTAGTGAAGAGGGTGGGGAGGGCAGCACGTGCAAAGACCCTAACTCAGCCCAGCAGCTGGGAGGCAGCCAGGCGATGGTCTCGTGGACTCTGAGCACCACGGCAGGTGCTGCTGCTTCGTGTCTCAGCCCTGCAGGACACGATTTATGTTTTAGGAGGAGTCTTCTCTGTGAAGCAGCAGTGGGAACTGTTGTGTTTCTGTCTGTCCCCCATGAGGTACCAGGGACCAGGGAGTCATCTGTCTGGGTTCCCAGGAGAAAGCTGGAGGGCCGGCAGATGCCCAGGAAATGCTGCACATGGACAGCCAAAGCTGCTGGGCATGCCACCAGGAAAGTGACAGCAGCTGGCTTGTAGGCAGCCTTGCCAGTGCCTGGTGCTGTGCCAAACATCTATGAGTGCCCCATTGCCATGTCCATGCGAGAAAGGAGGACTCCAGGCCCAAGGTCACACAGCACGAGTGAGAACACTGGGGCTTGGGTCAGATCCATTACAGCAGGGGATGGGGAAACTTGGGGAGCATCAGTGAGCCCAGGGGCTTGGAGGCACAGCATCCGGCAGGGATCCCTGCACCCCACACACTCACCACATCAATGAGGCAGATAGTGGTCTCCACGTCGTTGGGCTGGGAGACTGTGACCTCCGAGGTGGCAAACACCTGCACCAGTGCCTTGTCCTTCTGCAGAGTCACCGACGGCGGGTTGGGCACCTGGATCTTGATGGTGAGCGGCCGGGCCTCAGGGTACTGCTGGAACACCTGCCAGGACAGTTAAGGGGCACCAGGCAGGTGGGCAGGGTGCCCAGAGGCCATCAGTCACCCCCTCCACGAGGGCCTTCAGATCCAGCACACGGCCGAATGACACCCAACACAGGCAAAGCTGATACCCCTGGGTGGGCAGGACAAAGTGGCCACAGAGCACCTGCACTGGCCACGCCTCCACCCATTCTGCTCCCAGCCCAGGCACCAGCTCGGTCATCAGCAAACCTAGCACCTAGTTCAGCCATGGGATCTCACACCCAAGTCAGCCTCTAGCCAAATGGCTCTTGGCACCTCAGCACCTTGGGCCCTGGCTGATCTGGGCAGTCTCCCCAATTCCAGGCTCTCTCAGATCCCTGGTATCCGCTCCCCACAAACCCCTCCCCCTCCATCAAGGCTGTCCCAGCCACTCCAGCCCCTCCCAGGGTCCACCTGCAGCCATTTCAAGGCCTGAGGCCCCACTGTCATGCCCAACCCTGTTGCTGCCTCACTAGGTGAACGCTTCCAACCTTTGCTTCCTCCCTTCTATCCCCAGGGGTGCGAGACGATTGGAACCAAATCCAAGTGTTGACTCTAAACAGAAATCACAAGCTGGAAAATACCGTGCATGTACGCGGTGCTTCGCCCAACTACAGGTGCCCAGGACAAAGTGGAGGGTCCTGGGTGCCAGAGCACCGCGCCATTGCCTTGACGCTTTCAGCCACAAGAGGGCGATAGCGACCGCCCGTTGAGCTTGCTCTCCGCTCCCTAATGTCGGTTATGGTTTGCGCTCTGGAATTACACCCAGGGCTGCACAGTTCTGCTGCTCCAGAGCGCCAGCTTTTCCCTCTGAGCTGCCAGCACCCCTTGTGCCCGGCCCTGTGTGTCACCATCGCCTGCATCCTATTTTGACAGCTCGGAGACCTTAACCTCTTGCCCAAGTCACACAGCCAGGACCAACCTTGCCCAGGCTGGTCCACTGCCCGTAGCTCAGCCCTCTGCCCCATCACAGGAGACCAGCCTCATCTCTGCACTCCTGATCCAAGCACCCCCCACGGTGGTAGATGCATTCCCTTCCTCTCCCTTCCCCACCCTCCCCTCCCAACGTACCTTGGGAATCAGGGCTCCGAGTGTGGATGTGGTGAGGGGAGGAAGCTCCTCGAACTGCAGAACAAGCAGAAGGCTGCCATAAGCCACAGTGGTCACCGGGACTGCCAGGAGCGGCTAGCACAGTGGTCAACTCCCACAGCCAGGGGGTGCCTTTCCCCGAGCCCCCACCCCAGGTTAAATGGGCTGGGCCTGTGATTCCGAGTCCTGGGGCTACAGGACAGGTATCAGTTGCAGAATCTCCCTCCTCCAATAACCCAATAGCTTGTTCCAACCAGGGGACATTGTCATGTCTGTGACCCTCCACTCACACCCACACACCAGGGCCCACACATCCTGGCCCTGCTTATCCCTGAACCCCACAATGCGTTGCCATTTGGCAGAGCGATACAGCGCCCATGGCAGCCAGTCCACCCACTGCATGGAGCTAGCAAGCAAGGTTGGCGAGGCACTCCCAGGGACACTGTCTTCTCACTGGCCAACAGATCCTTGGGCTCCTACGATGGAATTCTGGAGTACAGGTTGGCCATAGGAGTAAACAGTGATGGCTGTGGAGCAAATGTCCTGGGGTCGCCAAAAAAGGCAGATGCTAGCCGATACAATGGAAAGATGGACAGGAATATAGAAAGATAATGGATGAGTAGAAGGCTAGACAGATGGGTGGGTGAATGGGTGGGGAGATAAGTTGGTGGATGGATGGATGGATGGGTAGGGGGAGAGATGGAGACCCCCGTGACTGGCTCCTGCCCACAGCCCAGCTGGCAGCATGGCGCTCACCATGCCATCGGTGATGTCAATGTCCAGTGCCCTCTCCTTCTGCAGAAGCGTCAGCACCGAGCCGAGGAAGTTGGCAGAGATGGCCAGCTGGGAGTTGGTGTTGTCGCCCATAGGGGGCAGCTCTGGCATCCTAGGCCTGGGGGATACCGCAGGTCTCCCCAGTGGGTAATCGATGAGCTCACCTCCGGCCTCCCCAACCAGAGTCTGTGGGAGCAGAGAAGAGCAGCTCAGGGGGACAAGGACCCAGGGGGAGGGGTGAAGGGGAAGGGCTGACGGTGCTGCCGCCTCCAGACAGCCTGCTTGGATGCAGCTCCTGGATCTGGGCTCCTCTTGGTTAGGGTCCCAGCTCTCCTTCCACCTGTGTGCAGCCAGGAGCGTTTGTCATCACAGGCACGGGTGCCCCTCCTGCCACTCTGCATGTGGCTCTTCCCTCCCTCACACTCTTCCCTTGCTCTAGCCAACGCTCCTGGTGGATCTCATTGTCACCTCTTCCAAGCAGCCCTCCTGAGGCTCTGTCACCACTCTAGACTGATAACTGCCTCTTCATGGGAGGGAGTCTTTCGGACCTGCCCCCTCCCATGGAGTCTTGGTTCTGTCAGGGTGAGGGGGCAGTCTGCCTCACTCCCTGTTGTTCATCCAGCCAGCGGCCCAGAGCCTGCTCTTTATGCAGTAGGGAACCCCAGATGTCACTGGCCCACAGGAATGCACTAAGAGTAAGCAGGTGTGCACCTGCAATGGCTGCGGGGGGCACGCAGCAGGTGGGGATGCCTGCTTGCCAGATCAGCCATGTACTGGAGGGGCCAGGGCTCCAGCCCCGGCTCTGTGCTCCTCTACCCTTGAGATTGGCCCAGGGGGCAGTGCTGACAGTGTGGAAGCTCAGTGATGCTATGCAGCAGGACTTTTAAAAGCTCACAGCCAGAGGATAGTGGAGTGCTCCTGTGTCCTGAGGGTGATCCTTCCAACAGTGGGCAGCAAGACCACCCCAGTCAAACCCCAGACACAGCCTGGTCACACCCCAGGTCCTAGCTCTGTGACCTTTGGCAGGTGCTCTGCCTTCTCTGGGCCTTGAGCCCTTGGCATGTGTGCCAGTGTGTGTGGCTGTGAGCGGAGCCTAGTACCACCTGCACCAAGCACCCAGCACACCTCAGGCAAGGGTCGGCTCTGGGGATGCCTCCTAACATGGTCCCCAGCAGGTGTCTGGGGAGCCGGGGAGACTCCCAGAGCCCTTGGAAGGAGACCAGGGGCCCCAGGTTCACCCCTGCCAATGGGGACCTTGGCTCACCCCTGCACGTGGGGAAACTGGCTCACCCCTGCCCTTAGGGAGCCCAGCCCACCCCTGCCAGCCCAGCCCAGCCCACCACCACTGCCCCTGCCCAGCCCCAACACTCACATTGAGGTCCAACTCCAGGAACTCGCCCGTCACCAGCGGGAGGCTGGAGAAGGTGTACTGCACACTTCCCAGGATCCCCAGTGGCACCAGTGCTGCAGGCAAAGATGGGGGTCACGGGAGACTGCCCCATCCCACCCAAGAGCCTGCGACCGCTCAGCCAGGCACACAACACGGGAAGAGCACAGAGCCAAGGTTCCAAGTGCTACTCCCCTGCCCAGCCTCGTCCTTTCTGTGGGGCCTCAGACACATTGCCTTCCCGCTCTGGGGGCCTCAGTTTCCTCCTCCATAAAATGGGCCATCTGGGGGAAGAAGGAAAGATCCTGGAGGCAGGTGAGCTTTACAGATGGTGCCGTGTCCCAGGGAAACAGTTATGGTTCCCAAAGGCAGTGAAGACAGCGGCCCCACCCTGTGGGACAGGCTCTCCCGTCTTGGTTCGTCCTGTCTGGGGTAGCTGTCCTCCAGCTACCTGGAGTCCCAGAGCAATGGGGGCACAAGGACAGAAAGGGCTGCCTGCAAGGTCACTGGAGAGGGGCACTGCAAAACTCAGGGGGCTGCCATCCCTCACATCTGCATGGGAAGAGGTCCCTGGAGTGGTGCAGTGTGCACGCTGTACAACCATACAGGCACACTTGCCTTCAGAAATGTTTGCTCCCGACCCTGGTTCTGAGGGTCCACCAGACTCGTGCTGGCCCTTCTGGTAGCTGCAGGCAGCCCCTCACTCAGAGAGGAGAAGCCAGAGAGGGTCTTTGCAGGTCACACACAGCCCTGCTGCTGCGGGGTACCCGGGTCCTGGAGTGGGGGGAAAGCTCATCCCTCTTGGTGCGATATGGCGACAGAGGGAAGGCTGGGTTGGCAGGGCCGCCATCCCCCCGGCATGCTGAGCCCCAACAAGTGCAGACAGTGGCAGAGGACTCACAGTCCACGAGACCCAGCTGGTCGTTGACGAGCCCCAGTACCACATCCACGATGGGGCAGAGCTGTGGGGAGAAACAGCAGGAAGCCGGGATGACACATGCACACAGGATGACCGCTGGCTTTGCCCAGTCACATTCCTCCCCATGGCCCTTCCGGCAAGGTTCTGTCCCTATTCCCATTTCACAGATGGGTCAGCTGAGGCTCACAGCTGCCTCCACTTGCTACTCAGCAGATGGCCTGTGTCCTTCTCAACCACTCCGCTCTTTACCCCTTAGTGTTCTTCCCCTCCAGGTTCCAGGATTCTTTCCCTGCCTCAAAGAACTCACCCCAGACCACGGTCTCCCTGCCCACCCGCACACACACCTACATGCCACTAGAGACGGTGATGGATGGACCGGGAGAAGCCTCACTCCCTGTGCTGGTCGGTTCTTACCAGGTCAGGGAGGACGTTGGCCAGGACTCGATTCACCAAGTTGTCCACGAGGTTAGGGAGAAGCCTGTAGGGAGGGGAGCAGGCTCTGGGCAAGGGGCTCGCCCAGATTGTGGCTCCCCGGCCGCTGGTTCAGGCTGTGAGCGCCCGGTGTCCAAGAGGACCAGCAGGACGGAGTCCCCTCCCCTGCGCCAGTGGTCAGGACACCCAGGGCTGCCTGTTCTCCAGCAGGCCGAGCATGGTTGCAGACCTGCTCGCTCTGCTCCGCCTGAGGTTGTCTGTCCCTTTCCCCCATCCTGGAAACAGGTGCCTTGTTCTGGAACATTCTAGGTGCTCAGTAAATCTTGGTAGCAGTCACTATAATGTGTTCAGAGCAGCTGGCTTCACTCTCAGCTCTGGCTTCCAGCTAACCCAGAACCAGGGAGGCCAAGGTGATGGTCCAAGTGGCCAGGCCCCTGCCATACCCACGCAGGAGACCCAGATGGAGCTCCCAGCTTCAGCTGAGCTCAGCCCCAGCCATGGCAGGCATCTGGGGAGTAACCCACAGATAGAAGCCTTCTTTCTGTCTGTCTCTTCCTCTGCCTGCCTCTCAAATATATAAAAGAAAGTAATATTAAAAAAAAAAAAAAAGATTGGGATGTGTGATCCATTTTACAGACCAGGAAGTCAAGGCTCAAGAAAGTAGTACAGAGTAAGAGGTAAACTCATGGCTTGCATCCTGGCTCTCCCTCCAACCAGCTAGTCTGGAGAGAGACAGATGACACCTGCAGAGCCATCTGCAACCCAGGAGAACCCAGGGTAGAGGGATGTCAATGGGGCCAGCCCCCTGCCAAAGGCACCTCTGCCCCCACCACTCGCACCTCCCCCAGGTTGGAGCTGGCTGCGGGGCTGTGCAGTCTGACAAAGCAAAGCAGCGTGGCAGCACAGTGGTGCTTAGAGGCACCAGGCATGGTTGGTCTCCGTCTCAGGGGGCCCACCTGAGGGGCTCCTGGCACAGGCACCCACCCTCGCAGCAGCTTCACTTTGATGCCTCCCAGGAGGGTATCGCAGCGCTCGATGACCAGCCGAGGGTACCCTGTGCGGTCCATGGTCAGCCGGACCTTGGCAGTGATATTCACTTCCACCGCGATGTCCAGGAAGCCGATGAGGCTGCAGGTGACCAAGGCACCAGGGTGACAGGGGGTCACACTACAACCTCTGCCCTTCCTGGCTCACCCTTCCTGGGCCTGAGCTCCAGTGGCTGCCGCCGCTGCTGCCATGCCCCTTGCTCGTCTCGGGGCTTGTGCAGCTGCCGCCAGACCTCCTGCCAACCACCCTCTCTCCCTGCCACCACCCTGTCCCACGTGCAGGCAAGGACAGCTTCAAAGTCCAGGAGAACACGGGTCAGCGTACCCAATGGGCTCCAAGGCGATCGTCCCACTCCTCCAATTCTCAGACCCCTCCAGGGCACTCACCTTTTGCCATTGATGGCCACACGGGTGTACAAGCTCAGGTAGACGCCGACGCCAGGCAGGAGCCGCACAGACACCCGTGGGAGGGTCAGCTCCACAATGCGCAGCCTGTGTGGGCCAGGGTGAGTGTGGGCCGTGAGAAGCAGCCCCACTTCCCCCTGTGGCCTGGGAGGACCGTCCCCTCCCTCCTGGCCTCCTCCACTCCCCATCCAGGCTTGAAAGAGGCCTGAGGTTCAAGGACAACAGTTGGAAAACACAGAGGGAAAACTTGCCACGAATCACCACCTTACAGCCCGGAAACCCACAGCCTTCCGTTCACTTCCTGCCAGTCGTGTTTCTACATCCACCAGCCATTTCCCTGTCTAGCCCCACGCCTGAATCCCTGAATCTGCCTGAATCCCTCCTGTGCATCCTTCCGATTTTAGTCCTAGGCCCTCCTCCTCCAAGAAGCCTCCCCTGACCTCACCGGGTAGATAAACTCCCCCATGCACTACATCCCCAGCTGTTGCTGTGTGACCTTCCATGCCCACAGACCCCCACCAGCCTGCAGGAGCTCCAAATGTTTGTTAAATTAAATACCAGTTACAAGGAAGCTATGTATCCTTGAATTAAAAATTACAGGAGCTGGCATTGTGAAGCAGCATGTCAAGCTGCAACCCGCAGCAACTCCATCCCCTATCAGAACATCAGTGTGTAATCCAGCTGCTCCACTTCCCATCCAGCTCCCTGCTAATGGCCCAGGAAGGCAGCGGAGGATGGCTCGAGTCCTTGGGCTGCGTCACCCACATGGGAGACCCAGAGGAAGCTCCTGGCTGCAGTCTGACCCAGCCCAGCCACAGCCATTGCAGCCATCTGCAGGGAGTGAACCAGCAGATGGGAGATTCAAAACAAAACTATAGTATCATAGCACATGCTTTTACTTCTTTGAGCTTTTTTTCCACTTAAGCTCTGTTACCGTGCACACAAGTGGAGAAACAGACTCTATTTGCAGGCTCAGGAGAGATCCAGGGCCCCTTACCCTGTGATGCCTTGCACGGTGCTCAAGATGCCGCCCTCACCAAGCACGCCCAGGACGCCCCCTCCTCCAAGAAGTCCTCCGTCACCCAGGAGACCACCTCCGCCAAGCAGGCCACCTTGACCGGACAGGATGCCATCTGCTGCCAGCATGCCTCCAGTGCCCAGCAGGCCACCAGGGCCCAGTGCCCCAGTGGCCACGCCAGGTGGGAGCTCTCCGGGCCTCAGGTCTCTCCGCAGGTCTCGCCGATAAAGCCGGTGCCCAGAGGTGGGGACCTCTGCCGACCTGTACCGCCCCGATCCTCCGTAGCGGCCACGTCCAGGGTCTGCAGCACGGTAGTCCTCGCTTCGCAGGTCCCGGACGCTGCCGTCCGACTCCAGGATCTCCCCGTAGCGGTACTTGCCGCCCAGCTGGGCGGTGTTTTCGTTGGTCTCCACGTGGCCGTACCTGTAGTTCCCGCCCAGCTGTTTGCCGTTGGTGTATTTGGGAGGGGGCTCTCGGACATGGAAGTCATTGTAGGGGACGCCACCAACACCTCGGGGGAATTCAACGCGTCTGTAGTCATCGTAGCGATGGCGCCCTCCGCCCAGAAGACCACCAGCGCCACCGAGCAGCCCTCCGCCACTGCCCCCCAGGAGACCACCACCACTGCCCCCTAAGAGCCCCCCACCACTGCTGCCTCCACCCAGCAGCCCCCCACCGCTGCTGCCTCCACCCAGCAGTCCCCCACCGCTGCCCCCTAGAAGCCCCCCACCACCACTACTGCCCCCACCCAGCAGCCCCCCACCGCTGCTGCCTCCACCCAGCAGCCCTCCACCGCTGCCCCCTAGAAGCCCCCCACCGCTGCTGCCACCGCCACCCAGTAAGCCTCCCCCCAGCAGGTCACCACTGCCTCCTCCACTGCCACCACCCAGCAGGCCTCCCAGCAGACCGCCTCCCCCACCACCTCCGCTCCCGCCTCCACTTCCACCGAGCAGGCCCCCCAGAAAAGGTCCACCAGCAGCCGCGCCAGCTTTACCCACGGGCACCTCGCGCAGGGCCGATTGCAAGGCATCGCTGCGCTCCAGGGCGCCCGAGATGGCTGTGGGAAAGCAAAGGCGCACCATTAGCCATCAGCAACCTACCCACCTCCTCTGCCTATCACGCATGCACCACTGGGCTCCATTAATTCTCCTTCCCTGGAGATGGGGGGCCAAAATGACACCCATTTTCCAAATTAGGAAGTGGAGGCTCAGAGAGCTCAAGTCACAGGTGACTCTAGGGCCCAGTTCACAACTATGTCGAGACAATCAGCATCAAGACCCTATGGGGATAACAGGCATACAGTAGGTGCTCAGAAAATGACAGCCAAAAGCAAAAGGGAAAATGGAGGCCCGAGTGGAATGGCCAGCTAGCCACTTGGTGTGGAATCTGTCAGCGTGTGTTGTCTGTCTTTGGGCAGGGTTGTCTTTGGGTTGACTGGCCCTGCCCTCCCCAAGCTTCAACCACCCCCGGCCCCCTCTAGGGTTAGACTCACCGTTACTCAGCACATTCTTGGTAACCCTGAGGACTGTATTTGTCTCTTGGCAGACGCCACACACTGCAGCTGAGGCCAGAGTAGCCACACACCAGGCTACCCACATGCTGGTTGCTTCCTGCCAAGGAGACAGTCACTGCAGGTTGCGCCCCCTGGCACCACCCTGGCCAGCCAAGAGTCGCATCGAGAGCCTGAGACCTGGACCAAGATCACACAGCAGGACAGGGTCCAAAATTCCTGGGCCCACCCACTGTACTTTTCAAATCTGGTGACCCAGATCCAACGTATGGCCGGTGTGACCCAGAGTGTGGATGTCGGATTCTTCCCTAAAACGAGAGCCACACGCAGAGCGGCAGGGAGAGAGACCTTGGGAATCACAACAGAAAAAGTCTGCTCTCTCACTCACCCATCTACCCATCTGCTCATCTCCCCCTTGCAGCCATCCATCTACAGCCATCCAGCCTCCCATCCATCCATCCATCCACCCATCATCCATCCAGCCAGCCAGCCAGCCAACCTCCCATCCATCCATCCATCCATGCATGCATGCATCCATCCATCCACCCATCATCCATCCATCCAGCCAGCCAGCCAGCCATTCATCCATCCATCCATCCATGCATCCATCCATCCATCCATCCATCCACCCATCATCCAGCCAGCCAGCCAGCCAGCCTCCCATCCATCCATCTATCCATCCCCCCATCATCTATCCAGCTTGCTCAGGTCGTGAGTGTGAGCAGGCTTCTGTCTCCATCCCTGAAGGACTTTCTGTCCAGGCCCAGGGGACAGCAAGACTCGAGCATGGCTAGGGAGCCTGGCCTCCTGGGCTGTGCAGGATGACCTCCTACCCCTGCCTAGGCTCAGCCACAGCTCAGGGAAAAGGCTCCTGCTTACCCTAGGAGGTGCCCGCAGCTCAGCCCTGGGAGGCCCCTCCCCGTGTCCCTCCTGTGTTTGGCTGTCTGGTCACTCAGGAGCCTTATGTAGCAGCACGAGTCTGAGCCTGGACCCATGAGATGTGTGTTATGACAAGAGACCGGAAGTCAGATTTGCTCTGCAAACCGGGCATGGAGCCCCCAAAACCACAAGAGTTTGTGGTTTGTAGCTAATTGCAAGAGCTGTGCCCAATCCCGGATGCTGTCACACGAGCTGGGATTTATCAGCCCTTGGTCTGGGCACATCCTGGAAACCCCAGCAAGGTCCCCCAATGTGGGCAGGGAAGAGGCGCCCAGCACTGTACTTGGCACCTGTTGATCCAAGTTCAGAACTCCCCACGTGCCCTTGGGCAGTCGCCTTCCTTTTCTGAGCCTGTTTGTTCTGCACCTGCTCAGCAGAGGGGATCCCTGCCTCCATACCCAGGGGGACACACATGAAACTCCCCAGACTTGAGGCCGGGCCTGGAGAGGTAGGCCTCCTTCAACCTGAACCAAGTTTGTAGCAAGCTATTTTATGGCATCCCCCTAAGGTGAAAGAGCTAGCACCCCTCCTCACACCCATGTCCCACCAGCCTTCACCCACACCTGTTCACCTGCTCCGTCATCCTTCCTGTCGCTGGTAATGCAGTCAGCTAGTTGTCTGCCCCCCCCCATGCATCTCCACTGACTGCCTCAGCTCCCAGGCTGTCCTGACCATCTTCTTGGGGGATCAGATCTCTACCCAGTGAATGCATAACTCAACTCTGTCTGGTAGGCTGTGACCCCTGCATGCAGCCACGAAGCCCACACTACCTCGGTATAGCACATGCCATTACCCCCAATGAGTCAGCTCCTGGCCCTTCCCGGGTGCCCCCTTCAGCCCAGACCCCTTGGCTCTCAGGGCTTTTCACGTTCACTCCCGCTCCTCTGCTCACACAGAGAGCACCACTCTGCCCCATCCCCTCCCATCACCCTCTGGCCTCCCTGCCTCTGGGTCTTTGCATATGCATATCCCTTCCACCTCCATGCTCCACTGACAACAATGTCAGCTGCTTCTGGAAGATTCCCATAGCCCCTGCCCTGCCTCCAGACCGTCCACATGTCCCAGGAGCCCATTCTCAGATGTTACTTTAAAAAATTGTTTTTATTGGAAAGGCAGATTTACAGACAAAAGTAAAGACAAAGATCGCCCATGTGCTAGTTCACTCCCTAAATAGCCGCAATGGCAAGAGCTGAGCCAGTCCAAAACCAGGAGCCTGGAGCTCCTCCAGGTCTCCCACACACAGGTGCAGGATCCCAAGGCTTTGGGCTATCCTGGACTGCTTTCCCAGGCCACAAGCAGGGAGCTGGATGGGAAATGGAGCATCCGGGACACGAATTGGCACCCATATGGGATCCCAGCACTTACAAGGTGAGGATTTAGCCATTAGGCTATCACGCTGCGCCTGTCTCTCTCTCTTTTTTTTTTTTTTTTTTTTTTATTTCTTTATTTGGAAGTCAGTTCACTCCACTGGCTCAATCTCCACCTCTCAGGTGCCTTAAGGGAACAGCTGAGAGCACAGACTCCTGAACTGGCTGCTGGGTCTGACCTCTACTGCTGTTCTTGCTGCTTCCTTGGTTGTGAGCTGGGGAAGAGAACTCCCTTGGCCAGCAAAGCTTTGCCAGCAGCACCCTACACACAGTAGGGGTCGCTAGGTGTTTGTTTGCTTCCTTGATTTTGTTTGTTTAATCCAAGACAGGCTGCAGGAGATAGCTCCGCCTGCAAGTTCATTTGCAGATTCCAGCGAGAGCCAGGGCTGGTTCTAGGGCAAGAGTCAGGAACCGGCGATTCAGTCCAGATCTCCCGTGCAGGAGCCCAGCACCCTAAGCCACCAGTGATGCTTCCTGGGCTCTTCACTGACTGCCAGGAAGCCAGAGCTAGGAAGCCAACTCGGGCACTCCGACCTGGGGCCCGGGACCCTCCACCACTGGACCTGGATCCCGGCTAGCTCCTGTGACAGACAGCTGCTCTGAAAGGCCATGAGGGGCAGGAGCAAGCAGCTTTGCCCCTAGTGTGGGCTGTCTGACCACTTCCTGTGGGGGCTGAAGGAGCTCTGGGTACCGGGACCCTGAGTGTCACACAGAATTCTGCGTTCCCAACTCCTACCTGTGCTTTGTGCTCCTCACAGTCTCAGCCTGGCTATCTGGGAAGTGGGCACAGCTGCCCTTGCCCTTCCAGGATTTCCAGGATGACACAGGAAGCATCTGGAACATTCCTGAAGCATCTGTCAGGCAGACTCGGGGCAGTGCATCCCCCTCTGACTCCTGCACACCAGGAGACTGACCCCAATTCCTGTGGGTGATGTGGGTGATGGTGCTGTTTGCCAGCTGGGTTTGCTCTACTTTCAAATCTCTGGAGAGAAGGAGGTGAGTGCTGTGAGGAAACTCCCACCTGGGACGATGTGTCCTCATTTCAGTGCCCGATTTTGACTCTGCTTCTGGCCCAGCTTGCCACTAATGCACCTGGGATGTGTTGAAAGGGGAGGCTTGAGTGCTTGGGCACTTGGAACTCACACGGGAGACTCAGCATTCCAGGTGCTTGGTTTCAGCTTGGCTCAGCCCTACTGCTATGGGCATTTGGGGACTGAACCAGCTGGTGGAAGATCTCTGTATATATCTCCCCAACTCTGCATGTTTTTCAAATAGAAAATAAATCTTTGAGAGCAGAGGTTTTGCACACTGGTTAGTTGCCTCACTTCAAGTCCCAGCTCAGTTCCAAATCCAGTCAGGAGGTGATGGCCCAAGTACCTACATCCCTGCCACCCATATGGGAGACCTGATGGGGTTCTGGGCTCCTGCGTGTGGCTTGGCCCAGCCCTGGTTATTGTAGGAATTTGGGGAGTAAACCAGTGGAACCAGTGACACCATCACTATTCACGGGTGCGCCTTTCTGTTCCGCCAGGGATCTGGGGCCGCCTCACGCCACCAGTTGGACAGTGTCATGCACACACCATGGTGCTGTCAGCCACTCAAGGTCCTCCATCCCAGGCCCAGCCAGGCCCCAGGGCCCATGGGGCTGCCCCATCCCCTTCCCCTGCCCTGGCCACTTTGAGAGGATTAGCATGGTCCTGGCGCCAGAGAGATCACCTGGGCTTAGCATCCCAAAGGCTCCTTTGTCTGGAGCTGGAGGTACCGGACATGGCCTGCCTGCAAGGACACCCAGATTCCTGGGAGGTGACTCACCCAAAGGCAGCATGGTCCACAGGGGCCTCAAGTGCTGCTAAGGTTTAGAACAGATCAGGACCACCCCCTCCAAAACCCCTCCATTCAGCCCTGCTCCCTGCCACCCCATATTCCAGCCTATTCAGAGGCCAAGGTTTGGATCCCAGGCTAAGCTGAGGCAGGTGCTGGCTTCAAGCCTAGACCTCGGCCACACCCAGCTATGTGGCCTTAGGCACGTCCCTCAGCCTCACCAGGCCTCAGTTTCTCATATGTACAATAGGACACCTGGTCACCATGGATGCTACACCTCGTGGAGTAGGAAGCATCCCGCTGTGTCTGTGTCCCAGGACCTGGTACAAGGGCTGCTCTCACTGCTGTCCTGTGCAGCCACAGGAGCTCACCACAGCAGGGCAAGCATTGCCCCTGGCTTTGAGGAACAAGAATGAGCAAGGACAACTCATTGGTCAAGGGCAAGAATGAGGCCAAGGTAGCAGCCATCCTCGGGGCAGCTCACAGAATTCAAGCATTCTATTCCAGCTGCACAGACTGACTCAGACAGAGCTTGGGGCAGAGACAGTCCCCCCCCACACACACACCAGCCAGTGTTTCTGCAGGGAGCCTTGAACCCCAGACCTGGGGACTTGGGGGAGTTTCTGTGGGAACTCCCACTGGAAATGTTAGCATGGAAGGGCTGGTAGTGGCAGGATGGGTGGGTGAGGCCAAAACAGGCTAGAAGGGAGGAGGGCAGGAGGCCAGGGAGCACGCCCTGGGCCACAGCAGAGGGGAGCACAAGGGATGAAGGCCTGGCAAGGACGTAGCCTACTCAGCCCTGAGACAAGAGCTCTGGGAACTGGGTGCTGCTGAGGGGCGAGTCCCCAGCCCGAATCCTGGATTGGCCCTCCGGCTCTGCTGCACTTCATGCTCAGACAGCTGATGGAGAGGACAGGCCTGGATGGAAGGGTCATGTTGGGTTTTGCTGGAGACCACAGGG